TATAGAAAAGAATTTTTAGTAAGAATGTATAGTTGTAATTGAAAAAAAATCTAAAAGAAATTGCAATTAGTTCCTCATTCAACCAATCATGTCTTGGTTCTCATTATTATATCGTCTACAACTGACACGACATCTTTTCGTGACTAGATCCGACAAAGTTCTTGTCATGCACAAGACCATTCTCATGTTTTCTGTAGCAGACACGTCGAACTTCTTAGCGTTTTCACGCGCCCTTAGGTGGCAGTACTTCCCTGGACGAAGTCGTTCACAAGGAGCTCACTAAAATACATTCTCGTAAAAGTGAATGTGTGGTTAACGCTACAAAATTTTTCCACGCATTCGTTGCTCCGTTATGAATGTCGGATCAGACGCGTTTGTTTCATTAATAGTCACTACCTTAACTTGTAATATGAAAGACGGTTATTTGATGTTTCATACAAATTTAAGGCCAAGGTTAACCTTATAACTTCAAAGAAACTTGAGAATGAAGTTAAATGGGTGAACAAATGTGTTAGAACATTTAATCAATGGGGTTAACGATTGATACGATTAACTAATAATGTTTCCCTTTGTTTGTCATCGGATTTATATCCAGGGCCATTTATGTAATATAATATACTTTCAGGCTATTGATCAGCGCCATCCAGCTATAAGCTGGAATTTTGACCTTTTTCAGAGCTACGATCTATCTCTCTCCTCCGTCGGTCCCTCACTGCTGAGGATCGAGACTTTAAGCAAGTATACCCGTCAAACAATCCTTCGACCAATCCTCTCCATTGCACTCTGTCTTTGGCTAGGTGGAATACGACGCTCACTGGCACTACCAGACTTTTAGCTACGATCTATACAGTATGGAGATTAGCAGTCTTGAGTTATTTTAGTCCATGGTTAACGTGACCATTATTTTTTTCTCTCAGAGCGGGACGCCTAGCGTCTGTATATATATTATTGTTTTAAAAATAAAATACAAGTTCATGATTGAGATATGAGTTATGAAATGTTTGATGGTTAAAAAATTTAAAAAAGAACTAATAATGTTTAATAATAAAAAATTTAAAGACTATATATTTTTCCCATTCGCGTCTTTTTTTTTATTTTTATCACATGTGTTTTGTATTGTCGAAGCGGGTCATTGTCAAGTGTACACTAAGCTTAAAAGCGGGACTGTCCCGCTCAAAGCGGGACATATTAGCAAGACAATAGTTAGTATTATAGAATCATGAAATTTAGATATGCCACATGCTAACAAATCCTATCTACTCTCGTTACAAATTCCTTTAGCAACTTTTCCATTCAAATGCAACAAATAATTTCTATCAACAGTGAAACCGTTTTGCGTGACTACAGTTGCAATAATACAGAAAGCCGCATATATCTCCGGCGCCCGACATGCCAACGTGGGTGGACAATCCCACCCACCAGTCTGGCTTGAGTTTTATCAGACCACTGACTCTAAATGTCACTTCCCACTTCTTCGTTATCCACTGCCCTTTATGCAACATCGTTTTAACTTCCGATTGTAAAATGAGAGGTGTTGTAGCTTTTGCTTTTATATGATTAACTAATGCTTATGGATTAATATTTAGTCTTACGAAGAAAAAAATTGGAGCTGGTACCTCCATGGGCTCTTGATGAGGGGGTCTAGTTTCGATTTCCGGTGGAACCGATTTAATAGACGAACATTTTTAAATTAGTTCTAGTATAAGTGTTCTGGGCAATGCCACCGGAGCTAATGTCGTTACTCTGGGGTCATACTATAGGGAATTTATTTTAGTAGAATTTATTAATTTTACTGGCAGTAGAGCTCCTTGTGAAAGAGTTCGTCCAGAGACGTACTGCCACATTGTCTATTTCTGCCGCCAAGCAGTAATATCTGCATTACTGTATTCCGGTTTTGAAGGGTAAGGGTGCTGGTGAAATTCCAGACACATGGGACTTGTCAACTTATCTCAGGGTGATGGGCGCAGTGGTAGTGCACCTCAGATCTTTGCGATTTAAAAAGCTCTGAGTGGCACTGCAACTGTTATGGACAGGCGTGTAAGTTGCCATCAGGCGAATGACTTGTTCGTCCCTTCACTTGATATTAGAAAAAGTCTGTTTGTACAATACGTTCGGGGGAAGTAGTTCAGTTGCAGCAGAACTTCTTGTGAAAAAGTTCGTCCAGGAAAATACTGTCACCTTTCTTATTTCCACCGCCATGCACGAAGTGAGCGTAACTAATTTGCGTTCCGGTTTTGAAGACACATGGGACTTTACAACTTAAGTCTCAGGGCGACGTGCGCAGCGACAGTGCCCCTCAGATCTTTAATCATAATCATAATCATAATCATTTATTCATTGCATCACATGGGTAATGTACAAAAGTAATTAGATTAGTGATCAGTCCAGCCATGTAACCCTGCTGGGCGCCGCAATTTACCTTAAATATAAAAGCTTTAAAGCTCTGAATGGCACTGCAACTGCTGTGGACCGGTGTGTCGCTTACCACCAGGTGCACGACTTGTTCGTCCCGTTACTTGGTCTTATAAAAAAAGAAAATAGTCTCCTTATACTCCTTCCAACCATTTATTTAAGTTTTCATATATGCTTGCCTCCGAATGTCCCTAATTATTGACATACATACCATAGACAAAAATGCAATACTTCCCGGACTTTTTTTTTTAATTTTAGTGAAGCGACGTGCTCTTTAGCTCCGATATTTATCGAGCCTGCAGATTATGTAACAAATATTATTCAAGTTGATAAATTTTGGTACCTGTGTAATAAATTATAAATAATTGTAATAAATTCTTATTGTTTATTATAATGAATCACCGGATTCACTCGTGATAATTCACGTGAATCCTCATTAACATTAATTATTAATTCTTGAGTACACAAATCGTCAAACGCAACATCACGATCCCTATCAGACAATGTCTCCTTTTTTGAACCCACTCACATTCACGACTAAAACTTCTTCGTAAATAAAATCGATTTTTATAAATCGAATCGGAAAAGCATTAGGACATCACTAATTGATTAGAATTCGAGCTGTGAAAAGTAAATAAATGGTTGGACGGAGTATAGGTCAGCCATTTGGTCAGAACCGCACTCGTCATCTTTTGCCCAAAAGAATATCGGTTGTCTTTGTGGCCAGTCAGTCAGCTGGTCATCCATGAAGCTGGAGGCTTCTAGCGCATTCGTATATATTCTATAAACACTTCGCACTCAAAACCACACGAAACAAAGACATCAAAGTTCAACTATACGACATCGAAAACACGTTTCTAATTTTAGATTTAACGACAAGTCCTGTGAAGTGTGAGGTGTGACGATGTATTGATTTCGTTCTGTAGTGTCGACGTAGCTCCTGAATCAATGGACCTTGTTATATGGCTTTATTGTATAAGGATTAAAAGGCTTAAAACTAATCGTAAATATACACACTCGCACATTTAGCGGAACGCAAGTAAAATCCTCAAAATATTTCAGTGTTTTTTTTTTTTTTTTTTTTCAAAAGATGGCCGGTGGTATTTTTGGTCATTGATGGCGGCACTTAACATGGCCACTTGTATTTGCTATTGGGTGTTTGATGTAAAGTAGTAGGTGTACTTGGAAAAATATTTGACGTACAGACATACATGCAGACCCTGACAAATATGACCCATGAAGCCAAATAATGAGTTTTTTTTCTTTTCTTTTTTATTTATTTATCTTTCCAATGACTTTTTACAAATAACATAAAGTTCTTCCGAACTTCATAAAAGTTCATCGGAAGAGCTTGGGTGCTACGCTTCATATTACAGTCCCATGAACATTACATTCAGTTACCAACATTACAGTTTTTCAATATTTATCTACATTGTATCTAACAAATACTTTTTTATTTCATTTTTAACAGACTTAAGTCTTAAAGTATTGAATATGACCATGGTGTGGTCGGTTTAGTTACGTATTTGCCTATTGTCTCCTTTTATGTGCGTCGAGGACCGACCAACGCGCCGTCAAGCAAGTTTAGCACACATGCTGTATACACATGGTGAATATTATTATATATAATATTATTTTTTTATTTAATCAATGATATATTAAATTGTCAGCTCCTGTTTAAATTAGATTTTTTTTAATAATGGCAAACAAAAACCGCTAGAAGAAAAGGAAGATGAAAAGAAACAAAAGACGTTAATAATAAATAAATAACCTGTGTCTAATTCTTGTTTATTTAAATATTACTCTTTTAAACGTTACTATTTTATTCTCTTTTTGCTCCGTTAAATGCGCCGATGGGTGTAGTTCATACAATGTATTGAGCTGTTATTTCTGTCTTTTCAATTTCATTGTACCTGCACCTATAAGCTATTCCAACCACGTGGAATTTTCTGTAGTAAATTTTAACTTTCTTTGACGGTAAAGGAAAAATAATTATATATTTACACGTTAAAGAAAATACTTGGAAATCTTTAAGGATGTGCGACTTCACTATCCGTAATAGAACAGCGTAAATGTGTCTACAGATTTGCTCGATTTTTTGATGATCGACACGTGTGATCAAATAAAATGAATAAAAACAACAAACGATCGTCAACGTGTTTTTTTGTCAATCGACACGTTTTATCAGACGATATCGAGTAATTGTACAAGCAACAGACGATCGACAATTTTTTTGTCGATCGACAGTGTGGAATTTAAATTAGGCGTAAGTGCCTAGAAATATGTTCGATTTTAACCTTGATATCTATTTATCGCTAACAGGCGACAGTAACGATCGATAAAATAGAGCAAATCTGTTAGCTGTCAGTCTAGTTGGTCGT